GGGGAAGGAGTCCTGTGTGTGTCTCTCTCTCGTTCCGTCTCTCCCTCTCAGAACAAAATGCCGACCGGAAGTGCAGCTGCAGGAATGACTCCCTCCGCCGGCGCCAAACACTAACAACCACCCCCTCTTCCCCACTCCACTTCCGCCACCGCCGCCGCCGCCGTCGCTGCCGCCGCCACTTAGGCTCGCGTCCTCGGCCGAGCCGCACCGCGCAGCTCCGCTCGGCACCCGGGGTCCCGCTGGGGCCGACAGCGAGGCGGCGGCGGCGGCGGCTCTCCCCGGCGCCCTTCTCCTCCTCAGGGCGGCTGTGGATGTTGCCTTTGATTGTCGATCCTGAGGAGCGGTGTTTTCGCGGAGGCGCGGCCGAGCCAGCGCTCTCCGGTCTTTATTTTCCTGGAGGCCGACCGGAACGGGGCCCGGCTTTGGTGGTGGTCGTGTGCGTGGGGGGGTCCTCCGGGCCGGACCCGCTCGCTGGCCGCGCTCGCTGCCCCAGCTGGTCGTCATTAACCTTAGGGGGCTGAGCTCCGGGCGGCCACATAGAGGACGCCGGCGATTCGACGGCGACGGTGCATTTTTTAAATGGTGTCCCGGCAGCCTGGTGGATGGATGTATCGTATCGTACACCTCTCCTTTTGAGAGGCCGGACTTGACGCCCGTGTCTGCATTATTTCTGTGGAGTAAGAACGCAAACCTTGGAGGTGAAGAAGCTTCTCAGATGGATTGAATTGGAATCGTTTTTTGTGATGCATTTATTCCTGGAAATATTTGGTCTTTTCTGGTCTTGCTTTTTGTTGGCGGTGGTTTTGGTTCTTCCCTAACTGTCGGGATAAAGACCTGTAGGCGACGCTGTTGGAGCGGGAGCTGGCCCGCGGCGGGCCCGGCGCTCGCTGCTCCGTGCCCCCCAATAGGTGTGTGTGGAGCGGAGCGTGCGGGAGAGCCCCCCGCGCAGACCCCGGCCACCGGCGGACTGCGGGCGACGGGTGGGCCTGGGGCCAGCCGACATCACACATCGCTTTCCTCTTTGCATTTGAAACAGGTCCTGGACCAGGCTGGAGTTCCTCTGTGATTATGTGTCGAGTTCCATGCTGCTTGTAGTCTCTCATTGTAACACGTGAAATAACTTGATCGTTCCACGGTTCTCTATGTTTACTTGTGTCAATTAAAAGGGGGCTATTCTCCAGGTAAAGTGCACTAGGTAAGCGAATTTGACTCGGACGGAACTGTATTTGTGTTATAGTTTCATAAATTTAGTTAAATTATACGTTAATTGTATTGTTTATGTGGTTTGTATATGTATCGATATGCTAAAAGTAAATGGGAATTTTTGCCTACGAGGCTCTTCCTTTTGCCTCAAAAATCACTCGAGGTACTAAACCAGATCCAGTTACTCCCTTACTCTAGAGACCCTGCGATGGCTTGGCATCTAGCTCAGAGTAAAAGCCAAAGCCTTGCCGGCGGCTGAAGGCCGGGCGTGGGCTGGGCTGGGGGGAAGCTGCCCTGGTATCCTTGCAAGCAGGACCCCTGCTTTTGCTAGTCCCCCTGCCAGGCTCCATAGGGCTTGCTCCCACACGTTCAGGATTTTGCTCAAATGTCACCTCGTGGCTTCCGTAGCCATTCTTTGCAAGTTCCCCGTCTCCCAGTCTCCCTGTCCCATTTTGCCCTTCAGGCCTTCTGTATGCCTTACATGGTTCTTTTATCTGTTTTTCCCCCAGTAGAATGTAAGCTCCACGAGAGCAACAGGTTTTATATTTTTCAACACTAGTGTTTCGTGGAAAAAATATGTCTGACACCCAGTTGATGCTTAATATTTGGTTAATGAATGAATGATTATAAGGGCCCCCCCCACCCCCACCCAACACACACACCAATTTCTGAACTCTATTCCTTAATATATACGTGTATACTTATATGCTACAAAGAACTTTATGAAAGATTTGTGTAAACTGGAAAAAAAAAATCTAAGGAAAAAAATGCAAGTGTATTACAGAGTTCTAGAAAAAGGCACTACTTACAGACATTTGAAAGCCCTCCACAACACCAGAAGCCCACAAACTAGTGGTAATTGTTTTGGTTTTTTTAGGTTTTTCTAAAGGAGCTTGCTTGAGAACAGTTGATTAGTAGATCACATGGTCATATTCATACTAAGCCAATTAACTTTGCTCTCTTCCTGAATCACCAACTCGGTTGTCCATCCTATCTGCCCTCTTTCTTGCAAAATACATGCTATTGTCACTAAATTAAAATCTTTGAGAATTTGGCATAGCCCAAATGTAAGCACTACTTGAAAAGTTCATTCAGGAAGTATTTATTGGGCACAAAATGTGCCAGGCACAGTGATTGAAAAGGTGCGTGTTTTAGAGGCTTTATATGAAGGACCACATATGGCTACTTTGGTTACTACTCAATTACACTGTCAAGCAAAGCAAATGCTAGTGAGATTTATTTTTACGGTTTCCTTCTTAAGAAAAGGTTGAGTGAAAGCTGAGGTCAGGCTTACTGTGGATATTTTAATTTACCTTTTAGTATGCTCTTTATTTACACTTTCTTTAGCACTAGGTATACCAATACATAAATTGACAATAATTTTTGAAAACGATGGAACAAATTGAGAATTTTTATTTCCTAGTGGCTGGAAAAATAGACCTTTTAAATTAAAATAAGTAAGTATACCAGTAAACTAGAAACTGCAATAAGTGCCTTTGGCTGTGATATTACAAATAACTGTATTTCATTTGTGGAAATTTTCTTTAAGATAGTCTGAATAGTTTTTTTTTTTGTAGCCATTAGTACAATTAATTGGACATTGTTTAGTAAATCCAACAGTCTGTTAATTATAAGCTTACCCATTAACCTTTAAGAACAGCTTTAAGTATTAATACAGATTGCTTGGAATATGTTTTTCAGTTCCAAAATACTAATATTTCAGTTTGCTTAAGGAAGCACAATTATCTTCCTATATACTTTTTTAAATGTTACTGGTAAACTAATAATTTTGCATGTCCAGGTAGCAAAAGTCTTGATATTGTAGCATTTAATTTAAAATTTTAGATATTTTATTTTTCAGTTTCTTCACTCATTTACTTATTAAGGACTCTTTAGGTGCTCCTCAGCTTTATGATAGGCACCTCCTATACATTAATGAATGAAAATAGACAAGGTCTCTGCCTTTAAGGGTTTTAACTTGTATATAGTTTACACCAATTTTTTTTTCCAGATCAGAGAATTGAATAAATTGTTTCAATGCATATCAGACTATTTCTCTATTAAATCAGTTAGTATTTTGCTTGCCTAAATTTAGTGTCCAAGTTGAGATCTTGTGTAAAATCTTGTTAATTTAGTCTTAGTGTTTTCTGGATTTCGTTGTCTTACTTCTTGATTTTTTTGGGGGGGCGGGGGAGGATGAGGGTTGCTTAATAATTATTTTCTTCAACATCCATTTATTTTGCTCTTAAATTTTAAAATCTTTATGTCTGAAATCAGTTGATTTATGGTGGCCTTCTATCCTTGATTTGCCAATTCTTAATTTGTAGGAAAGCCCAATAAACTTTAATCTGACCCAATATTCCCCCCTTGCTTTAAGTACCGAGTTGCACTACCCATTTTATTTGCCAAGGCTATTCCTGGATATTCCCATGTGTATTCTTGATCAAGAAATTGCAGAAGATTTAAAATATTTGAAAAAGGATTTTAAGTATTAACTGTTGAATGGTATCAGCAGGAATTGGTACAATTGACAAATTATGAGTTACTTTTGTTGATAATATTTATCTTCAAGATCAATACAATTTGCCATAAAAATGACAGAAATGAAAAATTGTAGAAAATCATTTTCTTCTATTTTATGTCTACCAGTTATATCCTTTGTTAGTGATAAAATTAACTCTTACAGGAACAAATCTTTGAAATATAGTAAAAAAAAAAAAAAGTAAAGGACATGTAGTGTATGTTTTGTAGATTATTTAAAAATCTACCAAAATTATTTCATATTTAGGATAATTAAGTTACTTTTAGGATGATTTTTGTCTTGAGAAACTTTGATGAAGAGTTACAGATGTTGATTTGAGAGTGAACTACAAAAATATCAAACAATTTAACAGCCTGTAAATAAGTTTCTACTTGAATTTTTTTAAGTACTGTAATCAAATCTGTGATAGTATTTATAAGGTTATTCAACATAGTTTATCCATTTTTATTAAGATGATAGAAATGAATGTTTTTTATACCTAGATGACTTTCTTGTCCTTCAAGAACAAGCTTTGTCCTTTTATTAATCCTTCTCACTTATAAATTCATAGATTTTATTATTCATGCCTTCCATTTATAATCCTATGACTTTCCTATATTGTTGTTTACATTTTTGCATTATTTATGCCTTATGTCCCTAAATCAAAGCAACCAGTTATGTGTTATATTACAGGCTTCATTATGCATTGCATAGGGTAGGGCCCTCAAGAAATGCATTTCTGAAATATAATTTCAATATAAAATTATTCAGTCATTAAATCTTCCTGAAAGCCTAATCTTAATGGAACCTAACACATAAGCTGAATGTAAACCAGAAAATTAAACTATACATGTATTTTAATACTAAATCTGGAGCAACATTGATTTAAAAGTGATTTTTATCTATAAAGGAAGAAAACAGAATCCATAAACTTAACATATAAAATAGGTATGAAGGGAGTGCTTGTGATACTCATGTCAAAGCATTTCCTCTAGGCCAGTGTTTTAAAACTGGGTAATTAATGTACGAACAATTATGGGTCATGAAATAAATTTAGTGGGTTATGACTAATATTTTTTTATTTAAAATATAGAAAAGAAAATCTAAAAGTACATCAGAAATAGTAAAGTCTGTATTTAAAAATAAACATTCACTTGTGTGTGTGCATGTGTTAGATTACCTTGTAATAAATATTTCTTACTGTGGGGTATAAGTCGAAGTAAAATGGTGGTGTTTTGGTTGTTTTTGTATTTCTTTTAATCTACATTTCAGGTTTTCCTTTATTTCCTCCTTTAGAAAATAAAAAAAAGAATTCTAGAAAGTTCTGATTGCCTATGCAGTAGTGAGGAATTTTAGACGCACTAAGAGATTTGATAATTGGTTTCAGAAAGATGATCTTAAGGTAAAGGGTAGGTAAACTGCAGAAATGTCAAATATGGTTGAAGTTGTGAGAAGTAATTATTGTCCTAATGGAGCTAAATTTGGTGTGTTTAGATCTATGACTATTTTATAGCACATCAAATCTCAAATGCCCAGTACAGCAAAATAATAAATGTAAGGCAAAAGATATGTTTGTTTCTGTCTATTTCTTCCCACATTCCTTTCAATCTTAAAACAGGTGTTTATTAACTAGTCATAGGAGTACAAAGCAAACTGTTACCTTCACAGAGTAATTATCATTAGAACAATGTGTACCCTGAAAAGGATAGAAACTTTTCCTCCTTCCAAAAAATAACAAATTTTTAATAAGGTTTTTTCCTCTAGCCAAAGTAAATAATCATTTCTTAAGTAATTAACTTTCACTTGCCATCCAACTCATTCTGTATATTTAAATATACTTAAATTGTGTACAGAATTTAAAAGGGGGAAATTGAAAAAGGAGAAAATTGTGGATAGAATTTGAAAGGGAAGCAATATACTGTATAGTGGGATGAAAAATACCAAACAGAAAATAAAATGGGGATTATGTTATGCTGAAAAGTTGTAATAAAATTTAAACTTATTTAAATTTCATTATTTACTGTTTCACTTTATTTCAGTATAGATTTCAATATTGTAATGTTGGCAAGTCTAAGAGCATGAAAGTTTTTTCAGACATGATGCCAGCTCCTTTTCAACTATAGATATTTAAAACCTAGTTTGGTTAAAACCTTAGCTAAACACAAAATTTTCTAGGGAACTGTAATAAGAATCTCTAAGTCAATTACTGAACCAAAGCTTATTCCCAAATGTTTCACCAGTACAATAATAAATAGCCTATTGAATTAAGAAAGAAATGATACTATTAACCACCAGAGGGAGCCAAGTCAGTCCTGAAAGGTAGGAGTACAAAGGAAGACCACATGACTTCCTGTTTTGAGTTTGACTGTTGTGGCAGCTGTTCTCTGAGTTTAGTTTACAAAAAAGCCAAGTAAAAGTATAGAAAGGCTACCAATGTATCAAATGTAGATAAGGCGACAATTTTAACTGTCAAAATCACCTAGCAAGAAGCAAACTGTAAAAACATACTTCTGTTTAAATTATAGACAGCCCAGAGGAAGAATATTTGGCATAAGAGAGAATAAAACCAGATGTTAAAAACTGAATAAGTAAAATGTATAGTTAGACACTGATTTCCTTTCTACTACAGGTAGTGAAACATGGATCAGAGCAAAGCAATGATAAGCTTGTCAACCATTAAGCAGAGGAAATTCAAGTAGAAATATACAAGTGGAAATGTCTCCGTATATAACCTAAGGTGGAAAACCATAGAAAACAGGACCTTAGGGCCATGATATGACATGGCCAGATATAACAGTGAACTATTTGTTAATAATTGCATTTTTTTAAAGCTGAAATTAGCCTCTATTTAGGCACATTTTTAAAATACGAAGTTGACGCAAATAAGTAGATTGACCTTACATCAAATTTATATGCACTTTGACAATATGAAACAAGGGATAAATTTTAATGATTATAGTGAAATAATATAATGAGTGATTTTTCACCTTAAAAATACAAAATAGAATTGTTTCACTACCTTCTATTAACAAGTAATACCTATTTTGTGACATGTTTGGAGTAATATATTGGGTTGTCAGAAAAATCATGTGTTTTTTCTGTTTTTCGTTGCAAAAATGCATCCTGACTTTTCCGACAACCCAATAGCTAAATGATAATTGTACTATCAGCTTATTTAATATCTTCTAAGAACCTCAAAGTACCTATAGAATGATTATTTAAAGTAAAACTGTAAAAGCTGGCTATTAGCAAATCACATCAAAATAAAAACTTCAAAGGCCAAAACAATTTTAAATAATAAACTAAATTATGCTAGTCTAGCCACTTACTCATTGCAAAGTTCATGGAAATACACTGTCCAAAGCATAGAATGACAATGGATTCAGGGAAGTTTTAGCTATAGGTAAGTTTACTTAAGTGTTTATTCATTCCGAAATATACTTTTGAGCACTATCTCCATAGGATATGGAGCATATCTTCATTATGAATTAGACAGAATTCTTAAATCTTATTGAAAGATTTAATTTCATTAACATTCAATAAAATTTAATCAATTCAATAAAATTAAAGATTTAATTTTCATTAATATGAATAGTCATAGAAATTCAGTATGTAACCCATTAAACCCAAGGAGATGGTACTTAGAAGCAAATCATTCAATATTCAGTACTAGAAGGTAGATTGTAAACCTGTAGCTCAGTTTTTATAACGTTTCATACTGACATAATATATATTGGCATCTGGTATCAAATCAGTTAATCATGGCAGTGATATCCAACAAGTAAAATTCATCTGATATCAGTCCTAGAGACATTTTTATGCCAAAAAAGCAATTCAACCCGTATTCCTACTTCTAATTATGTTCGTTTACACACAAGTTGTGATGAATATGGGCTATTGGAATTGTATAACCAGTCTAACCTTTTAAATCATGTTTAGAATTTTGTTAATGTTTCCACTCATGGAAAAATACTATAATCTTTTAAAAATTCCATTAATAAAGTGGCAATAGCTTTGCCATGAACCATTTCCTTATTGATAAACATAATAGTGGGTTAACTCATAAAAGTCCAATAAAAACCACATTTTAGTCTTACATTTTTAGTATAAGTTTTTTTGTTATATCTAGTTTTTATTTAATCTATGTTTGACTTAAATGATAAACTCAAAACCAAGTGAAGGAAAGAAAATAACTCATACCTTGTCTTACCTTGTCATACCTTGTCAGAGTAGGGAATGGTGACATTAGGAAAAACAGCAAGAAAGTGACTTCCAGTGAACAAAATCAGGTCTGAGTAAAGAATTTTGCTCTCCCTAAAAAAATTAAATACAAAATTTTAGTCAGGAATTTATACCTACACATGAATACTGTTTTTAACACTGCTCTAGACACGTTTAAAATATTTTATTTTTGAAAAAAAATAGCACCAAAACCCAAACTGTTTTAATAGTCAAGTTTCTAATTTATCATCTTTCTGTCTTACACTGTTGAATTCTGTACCTATTCTACAGCACCTCTCTAATGTAGCTTTCTTGGTATTGCCTTCTTCCTAATGCTACCGTCCACATTTGCTAGCTTTCTCCAATATATTCCAATGATTCCTCATGATCATATCCAGGCAGACTATATAACTTTTGCTTGATGTAAGGGGAAATGAATTAATCTAGACGATCTACAGTAGTACTTGACAATACTTCATATACGCTAAAGTATTTTTAATTTGAAGAACTTATTGCACATCTTATCGGCTTTCTATAAAAATATCTATTTTATGCAAGGAGCTTCGAATCAATAATGACTTAGTGTTTAAACTTGTGGTTACAATAAATCTTTTGGACTTTAATTCTACCTCCAAAGTTCTGTAAAAACATCATAGTTGTGAAACCTGGCTCTGTAAAAAAGAAAACTGGTTTGAAACTATTGTATGATGTAACTATTATATTCAATATGTTAAAAGTTAAGTCTGACCTATATTTTTAGGAATATTATTGTATTCTAAGAGTATCAGAAGACAATGTGCTTCTTAAAGAATTTTGAATTTGTATACCCAAAGTTGGAGGATAAGTTCTTTACTTATGAATGCACAACATTTTTATTATTGTAAACTATAGATCCTTCATTCCACAAACATGTGCCCAGCACCTATATACTGGAAACAGTGAATACAAATGAATAGCCTTTTCTCTTTCCTCATATAACTCACAGCCCAGAGGAAGAGTAGATCAAATATATTTAAAACAGTGAGATAAATGGCTATAAGTTATATTAAAAGTACTATGAAAGTACCAAAAATACCTAGAGGCTTTAAGGAAGCTTCACAGGAGAGGTAAAATCTGAACACTAGTGAAGGATAAATAATTTTCCAGGCAGAAAAAGACAGGAAGGAAGGAAATCAACCATTCTAAAGAGGGAGGCGAATATATAAAAAAAAGTATAGGTATGTGAGAAAGTTCCTTGTATTTCATAATCTGAAAATTGCTTTGGTTACAATGCAGATTAGGTAAGGAAGCTGGAATCTGCTACTCCAGTATAAAGTGTTTAGCTTCTACTCCACATTCAATGGGTAAAGAATATTATAGTCAAGATAATATAAAATTTGCATTTTAGAATAAATGCAAATTAACATTAAAAAGAAGTACCTATTAGAAAAAAAACAACACTTAGTGAAAGTGTGGTGAACCTGGAAGTTTCATTCAATTTAGAAATATGTATCCAGCTAATTATGCATACTCATTGCACAGCAATTTCTCATCTGGACTCTTGATGAGGCTATATTTATTACTTTTGTAATTTCAATTAAAACAGAAAGAAACTTAGGCAACTGAAGGAAGGATGGAATGTCAGAGAGGCTAGAGAAATGTGAATCAATAAGAAAGCCAATGTAATCGTTTAAGTGAGCCATGAGGGCTCAGCTGTGGGAGCAGGGCTGGAGAGGAGGGGTTAGATTTAAAAGATAAAATAGAATTCAGGACTTGTTGAACCAGTGAATATGTAAGGTAAGAGAGTGGGAGGGGAGGACTCAAATATTACAATTTAGTTCTCTAGTTGGACTCTACTGTCAGTAAATGAGATGGACATACAGGAGAAAGTGTAGGTTGAGAGCAGAGAGGAGTAAGAATAAATTCAGTCTGGGATAAATTAAATTTGAGTTGCCTAGTAGACTCCCAGTTAGAAATATCCAGTAGGCAGTTGAAAATATGTCTGGATACTCAGGAGACAACGCTAAAGACATGAGCGTCATCTTCAAAAAAGTGATAGCTGAAGCCACAGAGATGAACCCAGGGAGAGTTTATAAAATGGGGAAGAGCCAAAGAATTATAAGGACCACTAAGGATAAAGCAAACTACCAAAGATTGATATGGTTTAATAATCCACGACTTTCTCCCTAAAATATTTGAAAAGAACCCTTTTTATTTACAAGACATTTAGTTAGATATTATAATAGATACTTGGCTCTAAAGTTAATAACCTATAAAGTCTTATATTATCTAATCCTGGACGTTATGTGATTACTATCTCTTACATTTTACTTGAAAATGGGAGAGCAGGAGAACAGAGGTTGATTT